CGAGTTGTTGCTTGAAACCACAAGAACATCAGATGATTCGAAATCATCTTGGACAATAGCTGCATTGCCATTATCCTTACCTCCATGATCTTTCAGGCGTTCAGGGCACACCTTTCTTGTGTGACCTACTTTCTTACAGTGATAGCATCTAATACCAGATGCGTCACCACTATAAGACTTCGACTGATTTTTACCTTTCCTCTTATCGAATTTTCCTTTAACAGCCAAACCTTCACCAACCGTCGAAGGTTTATGCTCCTTACGTTCGTTCAAGTCCTTAGAGTACAAAGCTGATTGAACTTCTTCAAAGGTCAGGGACTCTCTTCCATACAAGAGGGTTTCTTTGAAGTGAGCATGTGATCTGGGCAAAGCGCACAACAATAACAGCGCTTGATCTTCATCATCAATCTTTACATCAATATTTTCAAGATCAAGAATCAGTTTGTTGAACATATCCAACTGCTCAGCCAACACTTTGTCTTCAATCATCTTGAATGAATATAAAGCTTGCTTCAGGTAGAGTCGATTTACCAGAGATTTGGTCATATACAAACTTTCAAGTTTCACCCATAACCCTGATGCCGTCGTCTCCTTTGATACCTGTCGAAGAACCTTATCACCAAGGCTCAACAAAATTGCGCTGTGTGCTTTCTCGATCATGGCCGTCTTCTCTCTTTCTGTTAACGCAGCGTCCATCGCCGTCGCTCCCTTCAACGCTTCTAAACAACCCTGCTGAACCAGTAGGGCTTTCATCTTTAAGCGCCATAGACCGAAATCATTCACTCCGGTGAACTTTTCAATCTCATACTTTGTCGAAGGCATCTTCTCCACGCTCACCGCACCAATTTGTTGTGAATTCAATGCCAATAACAAAGTATAAAATTAGAGAAGAATAAAGAACAAGGAAGAAGAACACAAGAATTGGTTATAACTGCTATTCTTTTACTTTCTCTTAGGAAACAAGATTACAAGTTTACAAGAATAACAAATAACCCTCTCACCCTATATTAGGATTTGCTGTGTTGCAATGATGAGAGACTAGTATGCTATTTATAATAAAACCTAACATACTAACTAATGGGCTTTTTCCACAAGGCCCATTATACAAGCTAACTTAATAAACAAGCTAACTTAACAAATTAGGGTTTAAACACTAAAACCTAATTTAACAAGCATCTTCGACAAATACATGCTATACCCTTCTTCGACTACAGCATGTACTTCGATCATACTAGAGTTCGATCCAATATCCCACACTACTTTCTGGATACATATATTTATACCTCTAAAATATAATAGTACATGTTCAATTTAAAAACTAAAATGGAAAACCCATGCCAAAAGAAGGAAAGAAATTATCAAAAGAAGAAAAGAAATCTAACATCTTCAATAATCATAATATACAACAACCAACGAAAAAACAAAATTTCGCAACAATCATTGATAAGTGCAAATTGTAGCTATTTTTGTATATACTTTTTGTTGCACTTATCGATTTTTTGTTGTTAATATCAGTTGAATAAACCATACTTTTGTGTAAAAACGTTTAGTTTGTGTTTTTTTTTTGTATACATAGTGTATTGTTTGATGTTTTTCCATTCATTTTGTAGGTATTTGTTGTGTTTTAGAGCATTGAGGAATAAGGTGTCGAAGGCACGACTCCGGATGCGCGTTTTGAGAATAAAAGACATGTTTTAGGAAGTTCTATCCAGGAGAGCCCGCTTAGCACGCTGAAGGCCGCTAAGTGCGAGTGCACTCAACGTATTTTGTAGCGTGCTGCTTGTGTTTTGACATTTTGGCAGAACCAAAGTTTTGGAGCCCGCTTAGCGCGGATAGCGCGGTTTAGGTCGGTTTGATGTGTAAAATAAAGAACTCACGCTTAGCACGTTAGGCCCACTTAGCGCGGTATGCTGAGATTTATTTTGTAACTTCATTTCATTCATTTGTTAGGTTATGGTTTTGAGGAAGTTTTTACTCCTAACTCCATCAACCTTTAATTTTGTTAGGATTAACTTAGATAACAACTATGGAGCTTGCATATGGATGATCCGGGGTGGATTGCTATTCGATCAGCTCTGATCAACCCGTAGATATGTGGTTCATTTCTCTTTTTCTCTGTGTACTCTCTATTGGTTGGGTATTATATGTATATTTACTTTGAAGTCATGTATATTTGTCGCCCTTGGCGTTATATAAAACTTGCTTTACAAATCTTTCTCGATTGTTGTCCTTGATTTTTGCTGTGTGCTAGAGATTTGAGTTGCTATAGACATATACTTCTTAGATTCTTATCTAGGATGATTATCTAATAGTGTATGAAATCTAGAGATAGATTTAGCGCTGTTATTCATTTAGGGTGTCTGTGATTAATGCCTCTGTGTTGTTTGTGTCACTCTGGGAGATCGTCGACCCAAGCGAGCACGATTGACTTCTGTGTTGTTAAGGTGATTGAGAGATCGCTATCGAGGTGATGTAATCGACCTCCGAATTTGGGTTAGAAATGAGTTTGGTTGAGAGTGACATGTGATGACATTGATGGATATTGTAGGTTTAGTATAACAGGTCGATGGGTTTAAGTCTGTGAGAAGTAGTATATTTGCACGTTTGATAAGTTATTCCTTTTTTCCTTTTTATATATTTATTTTCTGTTGATACTTTTAATTTTAACCCATTTATTCTCAAACTCTTCAACGAGAGATATGTGGAACGACTTTTCAATTCACCAATCTTCGTGGACACGATACAATATAACTTAAACATCACCTGATAAATTAATACTTTACTTTTTACTTACCGCTTTACCACAACAACAACCATCACAATTAGGAAAAACTTAATTAAAAAATAATTAATTTATATATCTTCATAAAATAAAAATGATATTGTCTTTAGAGTTACCTATGAAGTTGTATATGTTGGTGGCATAGGATATCTCCAACATTGACAAAATCCAAAGCCTTCCAAATATTTTCTCATGTTGTTAGTGCAAATCCACTTGGTTTCAAACTATCTGTACTTTCTAATACTAAACTTCTTATGCCCAATCTACCATAATCAATATGTTAAATTACATTAACAATCTATCATATTTAGAGATATATGAGAGAGAGATCAGAGATATGTTATATGAAGAGAATACATGTGTAGTCTCAAGGAGGATGTGAGGCCAGTAATTTCAGCTCCCACAATCACAATATCTTCTTCGATTATAGCAACGTGATTAAACCTCTAAACCTTGTCATCGCCCTTTTCACTGCATCAACATTAAACATTATGACTAAAATCAAGTAGAACAAAAAAAAAAGCATGTCATCCTAATTCATTCACACACCATCATTAATAATGTCATCATAAATCCAGATAACACAAAGCTTTACAAATTCAAAGTTTCAAAACACAAACACATCAATAATTTGAACCGCACATTAACAACAACCTTTTAATTCATCAATGAATATACATCTCACAACAACACCTATTAACAAAAGAATCAAAACATAAGAAGAATTAGAGGACGGAAGCACATCGTCGTCGCTGAAAAAACTACTTATCGCCGAATCTCTGACAAACAAAAATTGTTCTGACCACCGCAACGGAAGCTCTTGACACCGCAACCTCTTTAGAGATAGTTTAACTTAATCATAATAGTTTATAATTTCTCGAATCTCAATTTCATACTTCCTGAAATAACAACATCAAAAAAAATGAGATAAGAAGAGGAGGAAGGAAGAAAAAGAGTAGTTTGTAAGAGAGAGAAAGTAAAACCGTCGTAGTGGAATGGTGAGAAGCAGAAAACAATTGAAGATGAATGTTACCGGTTGAAGATGATTGTAACCGACAAATGAATTAAAGCGGAAAAGAATTAAATGATAGGTTCTTGATCTTAGATTGGAAAAGAATTGATATTTGAATCAACAAAGAGGTATGTTTGTAAGAAACCGTATGGCATCTTATAGGACAACTAGTTTTCTCTTTTCTTATATGATAGATTAAAAGTAGATATATTAGAATACTATTCTTTGAAAAGTATATATTAGAATTATATTTAATTAGAACGATTTTATACATTAGAAAATTTTAGAAAAATAACTATTAAGTAATATATTATTTTCTTTCAAATTTTACAACAAAAAATCATTTTGGATAAATAATTATTCTTAATAGTTAGTATAACTATTTTTAATGAATTATAATAGACCATGGTTATATTTTAATATCAGCTATATTTTATTTGAGGCTGTGAGGATAAAACCTTGGCCCACCACCACATAGAAAAGTATAGATAAAACGGACATGTCCAACAAATATGTCCATTTGATCACCTTTGATATTAAGCAAGCAATGTTAATGCACGGGTCATGTACTATGAAGAGTAATATCACTTTTTTTAAAGCCAAAATAAAACAACAAGAAATCAATATGTCAACTGATTACATCAATAAAATACAATCACATATCCAAAATTCAATAACAGAAAGATAGAACTATATACTTCTTTACTCCTAAACTCTACATACAAACACAAAAAACAAACAATTTCACACAGCAAATAAACGACATTGCACGACCCGCATGAGTCTTTTATATATATATATATATATATATATATATATATATATATATATATATATATATATATATATATATATATATATATATATATATATATATATATTTGTCATTGAAAAAATAGTATTCAAGCAATCATTAGTTTCTTTAAGTTATGAAAACATATTATTTTATTACGGATAGCAAACAAGTATATTCATTCCGTTTCGGTTAAGAAGCACAAAAAAGGGGACAGGATGGAGCAAATATTCCGTTTCCGTTAAAGATGACAAAAATTATATAAAACTCTCACTGCATTATTTATAGAGTCAGAATTGACAAATACTCCTATATCACAAATACTAAACTATTTTTGGTACACCAAATAAAATCCTTATCAACAAACTCACTCGACCCTTCATTTTTTAGTATAACGAACTAACGTCACTCAAATGGCCATGGTTTCATTCTCCAACATTTCAATACCATTCTTCTCTCATCACACTAACACTCACACTCACACTCAAACCAACTTCTATAGCCATTCCTCTTTCCCAACCTGCCATGAAGTTTTCACATTCTTCTCTTCCAAGCTCAACCATTCCTCTGTGTATAATGCACCCATTATCACGCACAACAATCTCCGTGATCATTCCTCGGTTTCCAAAGCTTTCTCATCTGGAGACGGAGGCAAGTTTTCGGGAAGTGGAGGTGGTGGTGGTGGAGGTGGTGATGACGGGGGTGGCGGTGAAGAGGAAGAAAGAGACAGGAATAGAGAAGAGGCAATGCTGGTTCTGGCCGAAGCTGGAAGGTCTCTGGAGAGTTTTCCTGCGGATTTGGCAGTTGCTGTTAAGGCGGGGCGGGTTCCTGGTTCGATTGTGCAAAGATTTTTTGAGATGGAGAAGTCAGTTGTGTTTAGATGGTTGTTCAAATTTGGAGGGTTTAAGGAAAGGTTGTTGGCTGATGATTTGTTCTTATCCAAGCTTGTTATGGAATGTGTTGTTGTCATTTTCACCAAGGTTTATTTCCATTATTACCATTTCAAAAATTATGATACTATTGTGTGCTAATTTCAATGTTTATATCATATTCAAATTATGTTGATATGTTTGTAGTTTTTAAAGTATATTGTGTATGAAATTAAGATTGGTATAAGTAGTTTTAGATATCGGGACCACGTTGTTATAGCGCAAGGGATTCCATAGCATTTCAATGTTTAATAGTCTTAAACTCTAATTTTATCTTTAGGTTGAATGATATACTTTACTCTTGTTAGTGCAAAGGTGATGAATTTGAGGAAGAAGATGAAAGGGAATAAATGCAATAAAGGCTGACAACAAATGATTGGAATTGATTGATATAAATGTAATCCTAATACACCTATTTATACACAAATAATAATGCCACATAGGCCCTAATTGTAAACTTATCTTTAACTAACAAAATACTAAATTACCCTCTAATACCATCCCATAATTTAGTAATTTATCAGAAGTTAACAACACCAATTTCATCTCTCAAGCGCAGAAATTGGTCTGTTTTTGTTGCCTTCGTCAGAACATCTGCCAGCTGCTTCTGAGTGCTACAGTGCAGAACTTCTAGCACTCCTTTCTGCACTTGACTTCTGAGAAAGTGATACTTCGTCTCAATGTGCTTGCTTCTGCCATGTAGAACTGGATTCTTTGCAAGATTAATTGCAGACTTGTTATCAATCATCAGCTTCAGAGGTTCCTCAACTTCTACCTTCAGATCATGCAGCAGATTCAGAAGCCAAATTGCTTGACAGGCAGCTACAGCACCAGCAATGTATTCAGCTTCACATGTTGACAGAGCCACAACAGGCTGTTTCTTGGAACACCAAGAAATTGGACCTCCCAGAAACTTGAATAAATACCCAGAAGTGCTTCTTCTGTCGACTCTGTCTCCACACCAATCAGAATCAGAATAACTCAGAAGTTCTGATTTGATCTTTCCTCCAGAAGGAAATAGCACTCCATATTTCAGAGTTCCTTTTATGTACCTCAGAATTCTGACAGCAGCTTGGTAATGAGACCACTTTGGTTTGCTCATGTATCTGCTGACTATTCCAACTGCATAACAGATATCAGGTCTGGTATTACATAAATACCTCAGAGAACCAACCATCTGTTTGAAGGTTGTAGCGTCCACATCCTCTCCATCAGAATCAGAGTCCAACTTCTGATTCGTATCAGCAGGTGTGATAGCAATCTTGCAATTTGCTAGCTCAAATCTCTTCAGAAGCTCTAATTCATACTTCTTCTGATGTAAAATGATTCCTTTCTCAGAGTATATAAGTTCCATCCCTAGAAAGAAACTCATTTTTCCAAGATCTGTCATCTCAAACGCCTTCATCAGAACTTTCTTGAACTCAGCTGTTTCTTGTTCAGAACTTCCTGTGAGTAATATGTCATCAACATATAAACAGACCAGAATCATATTACCTTCTGAAGTATGTTGAACATAAACACCATATTCCATCTCACACTTCTGAAACCCTTGTTCCTTGAAAAACGAATCAATCTTCAGATTCCAAGCTCTGGGCGCTTGCTTCAGTCCATACAGAGCTTTACTTAACCTGTATACCATCCCTTCCTGATTCTTTTTTCACAAATCCAGGAGGTTGTGACACATAAACTTCTTCCTGTAATGGACCGTTCAGAAATGCAGACTTCACATCCAGATGTATCAAAGGCCAATTTCTGTTTGCAGCTAAAGCAATCACCAGTCTGATTGTTTCGTGTCTAGCTACAGGTGCAAACACCTCAAAATTATCTAGTCCAGGTTTCTGAAGAAAACCTCTGGCCACTAGTCTCGCTTTATGTTTGCCAATTGATCCATCTGGCTTTAGCTTCTGCTTGAAAACCCATCTGACGCTGATGGCTTTCTTGCCTTTTGGAAGTTCTGTCAGCTTCCAAGTCTTGTTTCTTTCAATTGCCTCAAGTTCTTCTTTCATGGCATTCAGCCATACTTTCTTCTTGAGTGCTTCTTCAATACCCACTAGTTCAGAATCTACTAGCATGGCACACTGAACAATTTCTCCTTCAGAATCCACTTCAGTATCATGCAACATGCTAAAATCTGCAAACTTATTTGGTATTCGTCTGATTCTCTGTGGCCTCTGGTCTTGTTCTGAAGCTTCTCCAGAATTCGGAACAATACTGGCTTCTGAACCTTGTCCAGAACTACTTCCTTCAGAATTACCACCTTCAGAGTTACTTCTGGAAATTTGTTCTCCAGACCCTATGTCTTCAGAGTTTTCCCTTCCAGAAGTAAAATCACCACCAGATTCTGGATCATCATCAGAATCTGGATCAGAATCAGATCCACTATCAGAATCTCCCTGAGATTCTGACTCATCTTCAGAGTCTTCTTCTTCTGACTCTGACTTGTCTTCAGAAACTAACCCTGGTGTTGGCACTACACCAGAATCTGATTGAAGCTTGTTCCAATCCCATGTTTCTGATTCTTTCACAACGACGTCTCTGCTGATTTCAACTTTGTTGGTTTCTGGACAATAAAGCTTGTAGGCACCTGTACTGTGGTACCCCACCAGTAACATTGTTTTGCTTCTATCATCCAGTTTTCGTCTTCTAGCCTCTGGAATGTGTTTGTAGCACACAGAACCAAATACTTTCAGATGGCTAACACTCTGCTTGTCTCCAGTCCATTTTTCTAAAGGAACAGTTTCTTTTAGCTTCTTCGTTGGACACCTATTCAGAACATATGCTGATGTGGCAACAGCTTCTCCCCATAACATGTGAGGTAACTTCTTTTCTTTCAGCATACTTCTGGTCATATCAAGCAAAGTTCTGTTTCTTCTTTCAGCAAGACCGTTGTGCTGAGGAGTATATGGAGCAGTAACCTCATGTTCTATTCCATTCTTCTCACAGAACTTCTGGAACTCTGTAGAGTTATACTCACCTCCACCATCTGTTCTCAGAATCTTCAGCTTCTGACCACTCTGCTTCTCAGCCTTCACCTTGAACTTCTGGAATTCTGTAAACACTTCATGCTTGAACTTGATGAGTTTTACCCAAGTCATTCTTGTGAACTCATCCACAAAAGACACGAAATATTTGTTTCCTCCAAGTGAAGCTACTGGAAATGGTCCACATACATCAGAGTGTACTACTCCCAGAGCATGTTTTGCTCTGGGGGCTACTTCTGACGCAAATGGCAATCTGGGTTGCTTGCCTTTCATGCATATCTCACATGACTTCTGAGGCTTCACAATCTTCGAAATGCCATGTACGAGCTTCTTAGAACTTAGATGCCCTAAGCTTCTATAGTTCAAGTGCCCCAACCTCTTGTGCTACAACTTACTGTCTGCTTCAGCGCCTTCTGCACTGAGACACTCCGCTTCAGAGGTTTCTACATTCACTTTGAATGTTCTGTTGCTTCCCTGCTCAGACTTCATAATCATTTTCTGATTAGAATCGTACAACGTCAAAAGGTTGTCCTTCATAACCACTGAAAAACCTTTCTCAACAAGCTGACCCACACTCATCAGATTGCTTTTAATTCCAGGAACGTACCAGACATCTTTGATCAGAATGTTTCTTCCATTCTTCACTCTGACTCTGACATTTCCCATACCTTCTGCATTAAGGTACTTATCATCAGCACATCTGATCTTTGTTCTCCTTCTGGAGTCAAAGTCTGTCAGCCATTGTTTGTTCCCAGTCAAGTGATTTGAACAGCCAGTGTCCATATACCACCAATCTCCTGAACAGTTTCCATCAGAATCAGAAGCCATCAGTAGCACAGGTTCATCATCAGAATCTTCTCTGGCTATATTTGCTTCTTCTGATTTTCTTCCTTTGTTTCTACAGTCTCTGGCAAAATGCCCAAACTGTTTACAGCAGTAACATTGAACCTTCTTCTTGTCATACCTTTCCTTTCCCTTCTGATATTTCTTTTCATCAGAAGTTGAGGTTTCTGACTTCTGGAATTTATCACCATGTCTATTCTGCTTCTGGTCCTTCTTGACAAAAGAAGCTTTCAGAGCTTGCTCCACTTCCCTCTCAGAAGTTCTTTCAGTCAGACGAAACTCTTGTGCTTCTAGACTGCTTTGCAACTCTTCTATTCTCATGGTTTCCAGATCTTTAGAGTGTTCAATAGAAACAACAATATAATCAAACTGAGGCGTAAGTGACCTCAGAATCTTTTCTATGATTACCTGTTCAGAAAGTGTTTCTCCACAAGCCTTCATTTCATTAGTGATCAGAATCAATCTGGAAATGTATTCAGAAACTTTCTCACTGTTCTTCATGCTGAGATTTTCATATTGTTTTCGCAGGGACTGAAGCTTTACCTTCTTTACTGATACGTCACCACCATAACATCTGGTCAGAATATCCCATGCCCCTTTCGACGTCGTCGAATCAACAATCTTCTCAAACACATTTTCATCCACACACTGATGGATGAAAAACAGTGCTTTCTGATCCCTCTTCCTTGTAGCTTTTTCTTCTGATTTCTGTTCTACAGTAGCATCTGCTGCTGCTGGAACATAACCTTCAGAAACAAGGTCCAGAACATCCTGAGCACCAAACAGCACACGCATTTGAATCTTCCATCTGTTCCAGTTTTTATCATCAAAAACTGGAAGTTTAGTGTTTAAACTACTGCCTCCATTCATCTTAAACCTTTGCACAGAAAAACTCAGATCTCACTCAGTGTTTCCCAAACCCACAGAATCAGTGTGATTCTGTTTCAGATTTTTGTTCAAGAATCAAAAATCAAACACACAGCTCACTATCACTCGTGTTTCCCAGAGTTTCAGAATCAAACCAAGTGCTCTGATACCAATTTGTTAGTGCAAAGGTGATGAATTTGAGGAAGAAGATGAAAGGGAATAAATGCAATAAAGGCTGACAACAAATGATTGGAATTGATTGATATAAATGTAATCCTAATACACCTATTTATACACAAATAATAATGCCACATAGGCCCTAATTGTAAACTTATCTTTAACTAACAAAATACTAAATTACCCTCTAATAACTCTTTCAGGCAGCTGCAGAATTGGAGCGTCGTAAAGAAAATTTCACAAAAGAGATAGATTTTGTTGTTGCTAATGTGGTAAATATGATTATCAGCAATATATATCGTCAAACTAAAGAGTTTGAGAACTTTTGTTGCCAATGACTTTCTTTATTATGCTAGAATTTTTTAATCATCTTTTTCATTTTGTTACTTCATCTTAGGTAACAGGCATTGTAACAGGTTTTGTTCTTGTATGGTTTCCTGCTCCAACTGTTTCTCTTAAACCTCCTCTAGCAATTACTGCTGGACTTTTCACCAAATTCTTCTACGGCTGTCCCGAAAATGCTTTTCAGGTTAAGCACTTTTTGATTAAGCTCTCTCTAACAGATAAGTTCAAATAAATCAATTATACGCCGATGATTTTTTTGTTTTCTCGACAGGTGGCTTTGGCGGGAACATCATACACACTTCTACAAAGAATAGGTGCTATAGTGGTATGTGACTCTGTTGGATCATTTAAACCAAGTCAAATAGTTATTTTCTTATAACTGAAGGGTCATCTCCATCTCTTATATACAGCGAAATGGGGCAAAGCTCTTCGTAGTTGGAACCGGCGCTTCACTGGTAAATAAATCAGCATTCAGCATCTTACTTTCTGTACAAAATTATCCTTTTATCTTATTCATGAATTTTAACATTATTTCTTGCACTACATTTTCAGGTTGGAACAAGTATCACAAATGCATTGATCAATGCACAGAAGACTGTAAATAAAGAATTTTCTGTTGAAAATTTACCTGTTATTTCAACCAGTGTAGCTTTTGGGATTTTCATGGTAGTAGTAAGCAACCTAAGGTAATATATTACATTTTTTCTTGAAACAAACTACTATAAATATTCTTAAAATTTCATCATTCATACATCAAATATTTATATTCTTGTGCATATACATATTCGGACTTTTGATTGGAAATTAGGAATAGATCTCGAGATTAACGAGTTAGATAGAAACATAGTTTTGATAAATTATTTGCATGACGTGAAAAAGGTAAATCTATTAAAGAATTTGTCGCTGTCATCAGGTACCAAGTACTTGCAGGAATTATTGAGCAACGGATTCTAGAACCGTTGCTACGTCGAAACAAGCTTATGCTAACTGCCGCATATTTTACTGTTAGAAATGCAAATACTTATTGGGGCTCACTACTGTAAGATTATTTGATTTAGCTTAGTTCAGGCTGATAAACTTATGAATCATTTTCATCTTTTTAGTTCTCACTATTTTGTACATATCTTTGAGTAGATGGGTGGATTTTGCTCGATGGGTTGGAGTCCAGAAGATAAAGGGTTAACCATTACTTGCATCACAAGATATATAGCGATGTGTTCAGTTGGTGAAAGCTTGAGTGTATTTGTTCATTCAAAGAACTCTGAATGGTTGGTTCTTTAATTTGTTGTTGTATTATATTATCCATATAGATGGATTGTGGATTAGTGGATTATATTGTTTTTGTTTTCGTAGGTAAATGGTAATAATCATTAAAAAGACAAACACACAATTGTGAGTACCAGAATTCGAATTATGATTGACAATATCATATTGTTACTAAATGTGATTGTTATCGATATAAAAATGACTTTATATTTGAACATTTGAAAATCATATATACTTAAATATAATTTCATTTGGATGGATAATATAATTGAATATTGAGAATTATGATTAGTGAAATTAGTATTGTGGTTTATGTTGTAACAAGAAATACAATATCACAAATTGAATAATGCAGAAAGACAGAGAGAGTGAGAATGACTAGAAGAGAGAGTATTTGATTAATCCTTTAAAGTCGGTATTTATACAACATTGCATAACAAATTCACCTAACCAACTAACTAAAAAACCAAAACTTAGAAGTTGTAGTCTATTACAGAACCTATGTAATTGATTACCACGATATTTGAATTACACTTTTACAACACGCCACCTTAATTCTAGTCTTCCAATTCTTCAAGGTTCACCTAATTCTTCGGCCTCTTAAACACTTCAATTAACACACCATTGGTTAGCAAATCACCCATTTGACATTCACTTTGGCAATACTCTAACTTTAATTTTCATTCACTTACAAGTTCCTTCAAGTAGTGGAACCTCGTCTCTATCTGTTTATTTCTCCCATGTTCAATAAGATTCTTAGCAAGGTTTATAGCATACGTGATGTCTACCATCAGTATCACAACTTCATGCTCTTCACTGCATAGCTCTGGCATTAAATTCATCAGCCTCACAACTTGACAAGCACACAAAGATGCTGCAACGTACTCAGGCTCACGAGATGAGAGTGCTACAATTGGTTCCTTCTTAGAACATCAAGATATTAGTGTTTCATCGTACATAAAGTTGTGTCCAGCAATGGACCTTCTGTTTCCAACAATTTCCAGTTTCTACCTTTGTCAGTTGCTGGAAACAGAATTCCGCAGCCAATTGAACCTTTGATGTATCTGAGAATTCTCTTGACTGCTGCCAAATACGATGCCTTTGGTTTCTCCATGAACCTGCTCACTATTCCCACACTATATGCCAAGTCTGGTCTTGTATTTCCCAAGTACCTTAATGATTCAATCATTCTCCCGTACCATGTTATATTAACATCCTTCTCTTCTTCTTCCTTTGACAGTTGTAGCTTTGGTTCTGCGCTGGTAATGGCAACGTTACAATGCTCCATTTCAAATTTCTTTAATATCTCAATCACATATCTTTGTTGATGCATGAGAAGTCCATTTCTAGACTTGTGAAATTCAATGTCAATAAAGTAATGCCATAAGGCCAATGTTATTAATTTCAAACTCTTTCACGAGGTCAGTTTTGAATTCAATAATGTTGTCTTCATTTCTTCTTGTAATATGCAAATCATCAACATAGAGGTATATGATAATTACACCTTTTCTTTGTATCTTTCTTTTATATATACTCCATGTTCAAATAAACATTTATTAAATCCTATTTCTTTTAGAAAACCAACAATTATCTTGTTCCTAGCCCTGTGTGTTTGTTTTAGCCCATACAAAGATTTTCTCAACCTGTAGAATTTGGATTCTTGATTTTTCACAACAAAATCAAGTGTTTGTGCTACATACACTTCCTCTTCTAATAGGCCGTTTACAATTGTGGATTTCACATCCATTTGGTAGATGGACCAGTTGTTATTAGTAATTTCAACAAAACCCAATGGTTTCAATTTTGGTCACATGTGCAAACACTTCCTCAAAATCTATGTCTTCTCTTTGTAGAAATTCTTTTGCTTTTAATCTCGCTTGTTCTTGATCACTTCACCTTTGGGATTTGTCTTCACTTTGAACATCCATTTCACATCAATTTCCTCCTTTCATTGAGTTATATCAACTAGTTCCAATGTGTTATTCTTCTCAATTGATTCTAGATCATCCTTCATTATACATATCCATTTTGGATCACTCAAAGTCTCTTATATTTTTAGTGGTTCAGATTCACCAATGAGTACAAAATGAACAAGATCACCATTATCATTTGCTTCATTATTAGGAAAAAACATACAATCTTGTAGTCTAACAAACGTGCTTCTTTTCCTTGTTGATCCCCTCACATTTCCTTCCACCTGGACTTCTCTAGGATTTCCCTTGCAGGATTTATTTATAGTCATTATCCAATAAATTCGATTTCTTGCAGGGTTTACTTGCTTACACCACCTTACACTTTTTCTTAAAGCATAACATACACATCATAACATCATGCCATAGCATTTCCTTAACCATTTCAAGGATCTCAAGGGCCTGTGATGCAGGTTATGATGAATCAGACGTCTAGCAAGAGGAAAAGGGATTTATTTTCCTCTAGCCAATGTCATCAGAAGATCAAAACTCAACAACTTGAGTCAGGGGCTATGACCCACTTGATATGGCGAGCTTGACTCTCGTAGAAGGACACTCAACGATACGAAAGTTCTTCAGTCAAAGTCTCCGTTCAACTCCTAACATTTTCTTGTTTAGTCCACGAGATCCTTGTAAAATTTTATTTGTTACTGTTTTATAACTTTAAGATATTTATATATTTATATAAATAGTAGTTTATAATATATATATATATATATATATATATATATATATATATATATATATATATATATATATATATATTATAATTAATAGTGTGATTAATTATATAACCGGTTACGGTTTATCGATGAAACTTGATATTTTGGTTTCGATCGAAGATTAATTAAATCGTAGATGTGTGGTAGATTTGAAATGTGTTGTGAAATGCCAATTCCGGAAATAACATTGTTCAATTTATAAATATTATGATATATTAATAATTAATTAATATATTAATATATATTATAATTAACAGTGTAATTAATTAATATAACCGGTTACGATTAATTGGTAAAACTTAATATTTTGAGTACGACCAGAGATGAATTAAATTGTAGATGTGTTGAATATTTGAGATATTTGGTTAATTGCCGATTCCGGAAATGATGTGTTTGATTTATGAATATTTTGGTGTTGTGGGATAATTGTTGAAAATGAAATAAATGATGTTTGTTGTGCAATGTTGTGAGATTAATTCATAGGGTTGAATTATGGTGATGTATGCTTGTAATTGAGATAGAGGGATGCCTCGATTTGCATATTGTTGTTGATTGAATTGCACACCGCACCATAAGTCATGTCAAGAGGCGATGTCTGTTAGTCTCGTGGAGGCTAGTGGCTCGTCCCAAACTCAGAGTGGGGGTTTGAAAGCTTAGGGAATGGGCTTTTGTGATTATCTGTCTGAGGGATAGACATCGACAAGTCCGAAGGATAATAGATGATTAGTACCACATGCATGAGTCATGTCGTTGTGTCGAGTCGCACGTACACATTTTATTGAGTTTATGTGTTGTTGAATATTATGCATTATGTGCTAATTGGTAAATGAAATGGATTGTGTTTGTTTTCTTTGAGTTGTTGAATATGAGAATTTGATTAAATGAATATCTTAAGTAGTTTATGTAAGAGTTGAAAAAAGAGTAAGATTCCTTTATTTAATACCTTTCATTTTCTTTAAATTACATACTTTATGTTTGTTGGAATTCTTACCCTTCTGTTGGAAAATGCTTACTTCGGCATTGTTCAGGTACCGAAGACGGTAGTGCGAGGAACTAGCTTAGTGGATGCATTTGGATTGTAATCCATTTTATTTTGGTTTATCGAGTCGATGCTCTGGTTGTAACACTTGAGGGTTAGGTGTCCGCATTCGAACTCGTATATTTTGTAGATGGATTATACTTGTATATAATCCATTGTTTTGATTATATATTGATGTATGTGTATTATGACTTGGTAACATGTTTGGTGTATGAACCGTATGGCTTAATGCCTTGAATTTTATATTTTGATTCCTCCTTTGGAGATGAAGTTATTATGATTCCGTTGCGTTTGCACGAAAAAGAAAGTATATGCCATAAATGTATTATGTGATTAAATGATTAAAGTGACGAATATGTCATGTCCATTTTTCTTGAATATGTGAATTGATGTTGTGACACTCCTTCCGTGAAAATTTTATTTTCTCTTATTTTAATTATATCGTTTAATTTGGGGTTTATTAGAAGGGGTGTTACAGTTTCAACAAGAAGAAATGGCTCTTGAACAAATAATCAAAGACCTTCAGGCTCAAAACGCTCAGTTCCAACAAATGTTCCTGACTCTGATCCAGGGGCAAGAAGACCTGAAAGCTCTGATCGTCAAAAAGAAGACTAAAAAGGCAAAGAAACCAGTTCGTGTTTTTAGTATGGGAAGAAGAAGACCAGCTAACTGAGTTCTAGATTTCGCAACCCCATCAAAGGGAGGAGGTAATCAAGAGGAAAATGGTGAGGAATCATATGAAGGAGACAACAATTCAGCATTTGAAGAAGATGAACCTGGCTATTCTGAGGAGCAATATCCCCCTGCAGACGATAAATACAAACGGCTGGAGGATCGGCTAAATGCCATGGAGATCCAAAGGGTGCCCGATCTGGATTTTTGTAGATTTAGGTTTGGTTCCAGGGGTGGTCATCCCACCTAAGTTCAAGGTCCCTGTCTTTGCAAAATATGACGGCGTTTCCTGTGCCAAGCTTCACTTTAGGTTATATGTCAGAAAGATCCAGCCTCACACTGCTAACCGGAAGCTATGGGTCCATTTCTTCCAAGAAAGTTTGGCTGTAACTCATTTGGATTGGTTCTATCAGCTAGAAGGAACTGAAATCCATACCTGGGAAGACTTGGTTGTTGCTTTCTACAAGCAGTACCAATACAATGCTGACCTGGCACCAACTCGAGTGCAATTGCA